GGGGGTGGTCCCTGCCCCCCCCTCACCTGGGCACGCAGCTGGGCGAGCTGCGATCCACCTCCCAGGTGGCGAACAGGTTCATGTGCACCGGGCCGGGCGGGGGTCCCGGGGGGGCCCCGGGCCCGGGGGGGGGCGCGGGGGGTCCCGGGGGGGGTCCCGGGGGGGCTCCGGGCCCGGGGGGGGCGCGGGGGGCGCCGCGTTCCGCCATCGCCGCCGCCGCGCCGGCCACGCCCCCCCCGCGCCTGATTGGCTGCCGCGACGCACCGCGGGATCCGATTGGGTAACACCAGCCACTTCCCCGCCCACGCGCGGCGCTGATTGGCCGCCGCCCACCCCGCTGCGGAACGGCGGCCACGCCCTCCTGTCAGGAGAGGCCACGCCCAGCACTGCGGAGGCCACGCCCACAGGGGGAATCCTGGGCGCTGATTGGGTGAGCGGGAGGAGGCCACGCCCCGTTGGGGACATTGCGGGGTCACCGAGGGGTCCCGTGCCACTGTCCCCATGTCCTGTCCCCGTCCCTCTGTCCCTCTGTCCTTTGTCACTGTCCCCTGTCCCCACCCCCCTGGGAGCCACCCCCGACACGGGCTGGGGACAGGGACAAGGAGGGGACAAGGTTTGGGGACACAGGGACAGCTGAGGGGGACACGGTGACCTCGGGGCCATGTCCCAGGGACTCGGTGACCTCGGTGACACTGGGGACATGTCCCAGGGACTCGGTGACACGGTGACACGGTGACATTGGGGCCATGTCCCAGTGACACGGTGACCTCGGTGACATGTTGACCTCCGTACCACGTCCCAGTGACACAGTGACCTTGTCACGGTGACATCGGGCACACGTCCCAGTGACTTGGTGACCTCATCACAGTGACCTCAGTGCCAGGTCCCAGTGACTCGGTGACATGGTGACCTCAGTGCCACATCCCAGTGACATGGTGACCTCGGTGACATGGTGACCTCAGTGCCACATCCCAGTGACATGGTGACCTCGGTGACCTTGGTGACCTCAGTGCCACATCCCAGTGACACGGTGACCTCTCTGTCACGGTGACCTCGGTGCCACCAGGCAGAGCCGCGGGGTTGGGTGGCAACGCCACCTTTTATTTACAAAACAACGGGGACAAGGTGGGGACAA